TTGATCCCAGTTCCTTCCCATTCCATCCCAGTCCCTCCCAGTTCCTCCCAGTCCCTCCCAGTCCCCCTAGCCCCATTCCCAGTCCGTCCCAGTCCCTCCCAGTTCCCTCCCAGTCCATCCCAGTCCCTCCCAGTCCCTCCCAGTTTATCCCAGTTTATCCCAGTCCCTCCCAGTTCCCTCCCAGTTCCATCCCAGTCCCTCCCAGTCCCATTCCCAGTCCCTCCCAGTTCATCCCAGTTCCATCCCAGTTCCCTCCCAGTTCATCCCAGTTTATCCCAGTCCCATTCCCAGTCCCTCCCAGTTCCTCCCAGTCCATCCCAGTCCATCCCAGTTTGTCCCAGTCCCATTCCCAGTCCATCCCAGTTTATCCCAGTCCCCTCCCAGTCCCTCCCAGTCCCATTCCCAGTCCCTCCCAGTATATCCCAGTGCTCACCGGGTCCTTGAACTGCTCGCTGACCGAGCGGATCACGGGCAGCGTCTCCTCCAGCTTGGAGGCGAGCTGGTCGGCGTTCATGTCCCCCAGCCCCAGCATGCTGCACATCTGGGGACCCCAGACCCAATTCCAGCCTGGGACACCCCCAGACCCAAATCCAGCCCTGGAGAAACCCCCAGACCCAAATCCCTGACCTGGGACACCCCCAGACCCAAATCCCTGACCTGGGAAACCCCCAGACCCAAATCCCTGACCTGGGAAACCCCCAGACCCAAATCCAGCCCTGGGGAAACCCCCAGCCTCAAATCCCTGAGCAGGAACCGCCCAGCCCCAGCATGCTGCACATCTGGGGACCCCAGACCCAATTCCAGCCTGGGACACCCCCAGGAACCCCCAGACCCAATTCCATGACCTGGGAAACCCCCAGACCCAAATCCCTGACCTGGGAAACCCCCAGACCCAAATCCCTGAGCAGGAACCACCCAGGAACCACCCAGCCCCAGCATGCTGCACATCTGGGGACCCCAGACCCAATTCCAGCCTGTGAAACCCCCAGACCCAAATCCAGCCCTGGGGAAACCCCCAGACCCAAATCCAGCCCTGGAGAAACCCCCAGACCCAAATCCCCGACCTGGGAAACCCCCAGACCCAAATCCCTGAGCAGGAACCACCCAGGAACCGCCCAGGAACCGCCCAGCCCCAGCATGCTGCACATCTGGGGACCCCAGACCCAATTCCAGCCTGGGACACCCCCAGGAACCCCCAGACCCAAATCCCCGACCTGGGACACCCCCAGACCCAAATCCAGCCCTGGGGAAACCCCCAGACCCAAATCCCCGACCTGGGACCCCCAGGGACCCCCAAAAGACCCCCCAGGACCCCCCACCTGGGAGATGAAGGGGCTGATCTGGTTCTTGATCTGCATCAGGCGCCCCCAGCCCCAAATCCC